ATTGCACGCCTGTTGCATCCACTCCCACCACATTCCTGCCTCCTCCGGTCCCCCTCCCAGGGTGATGTGGCTAATTTTAACCTGTAATCTGAAGCCCAGGACAGGGCAGTCCCGAGGCGGCTCCGGCTAAAGGACACGTTCAGGGAAGACATGAAACAAGGCCTCAAAAAAGAAGGTGACAGCTCTTTTCTCCAACACTCACCCAGAGTGTAAAATAAGGACAGGTTCTCCTCGACAGAAGTTCTGATGAAGGAGTTTCTCCTGTTTGAAACAGATTGCTCTGGGAAACAGACACCATTTATCAAAGACTTGGCTGTGTGCAGAGCATTATTTAAGCACTGGGCAAGGACACCGGTTAGGGGACAGTCCTTCCAATGATGTTTAGAAACAACTGTAAAACAACGTGCCAATAAGCAGACAATAACACACTCAAGATAATAAGATGAGCTAACAATTACAGAGTTGTTGGTGCTTCCATAGAAACTGATTTAATCTTCATAGTGACCCTATGATGGAGGGACTATTATTTTCTCTATCTTACTGATGAGGAAACTGGGGCCCTGAGAGGTTAAGTCACTTACCCAAGGTCACACAGGATTCAAACCAAGGCAGCCTGGCAGCCTGGCTCTGGAGGCCATGCTCCTAACCACACCACAGCATGCTGCTGAGGGGGGACACAGAGAATGGGGTTCACCCAGACAGCTTCCTAGAGGAGTGAAGTTTTTTTAAATCCTCACCTGAGGATATGCTTTTGTGTTTTGTTTTGTTTTTAATTGATTTTAGAGAGCGAGGGAATGAGAGGAGGAGAGAGAAACATCGATGTGAGAGAGGACCATCAGTCGCTTGCGTCCGTAGGCGTCCTGACTGGAGAAGGAGCCCGTAGCCTGGGTATGTACCCTGACCTAGAATGGAGCCTGCTTTGGTGTGCGGGGCGACACTCCAACTGAGCCACACCGGCCAGGGCGGGAATGAAATTCTGATAAGAATTATGAAGAGTCAGGGCAACGTTGGGGTGAATGAGATGATTTAGAGTAAAAAAAATAGGTTTCCTTTTTTTGCTAACCTCTTACTTTTTTTTTTCCTGTTACTTTTAATGGCTGTAATGAGCGTTATTTAATGGGAGGCCTTTTCATTAAATGCTTAAATTTTATCATTCCATGAGTACTGGCTACTGGGGGGCCTTGTTTGCTCTGAGTTCCAAGATCGCTTTAGAATGAGAGTCGTGGGTCTGGAAAAAAACATAAAATCACCTGGTTCACCTCCTCATTTTATAGACAAGGAAATGTCAGCTCAAAGTGGTTCTGTGGTGCCCAGACCAGCACCCCAGCCTCCTAATTCTCAGTCTAGGGCCTTTCCACCTCCCCACCGCCCCCTTATGTGACCTCCTGAATGCAGCAGCCTGCGTCGGACTGGGCCTGGGACCAGAGGAGCAGAGCAGGGTGGGCATTTCTCAGGTGATACTGGACGCCTAAGATCGTCACAGTTGGGGAATTCAGAGACACACTTGGCTTACCTATGTTGGCTTGGGTCAGTCCGGAGTTAGGGACATGGAGAGGGAATCACAGTCCTGTCAGAGGGCTTCTGTGGAGTGGAATGGTCTGGGCTCCCTGGATGGCTAACCTCTGGGCCTTCCTGCCTGTTATAGCGCCCCTCCTGTCCCCACATTGACTCACTCCCTAGAAGAAGACCTGTGCTCAGGATTGGCGGTTGCCACCTTGGCTGCCATAAGCACAGTGCTGGCCAGTGGGGATGAGAGAGAAGCAAGCCCTGACCCTGCCTGGGGCACCTGCAGTGTGCCAGGGAGACAAACTCATAAATGGGTGGTTCTGTTTCTCTCCCTGCACCGAGCAGGAGTCCACTCTGCCCCTCATAAAACATTATAAATATAGGAATGATGACTAGATTTTACTCAGTTAACACTAATAAAAAGTAACTTATGATTTAGCAGAAACCAAAGCATCACCCCTGGAGACTAGTGAGGAGTCACATGGCGGACAGGCAGGGGCCTGGAGGAGGAGTTGGCCCACTCGGATCCCAGTCCCGGCTGTGTGGTCCATGCCGTCGACCGCACAATGCTCTGGCTTTGGTTCTTTTTCTGTAAATTGAAGATGTAGATCGACAGTTTTTAAAAACAGCTTTACCTATTTACAGTTTACCTATTTAAAGTGTGCCATTTAATGGCTCTCAGGATATTCAGAGTTGTGCAACCATCACCATAAAAATTTATAGAACATTTTCATCACTCCAAAAAAACCCCTATCCTATTAGCACTCGTCTCCACCTCCCCTGTCTCCTAGCCCCAAGCAATCTTCTTTCTCTATGGATTTGCCTATTTTGGTGAAGCTGTGTGTGTGTACACTTCTTTTTTTAAACACACAAGAGGTTGGAGTGAGAAGCACAGTGTGCCCTGCAAGTGTGCCCATCCTTCCTTCCAGCCCTGTGAGACCTGGAGTCCTGCTTTGCTTGAGAAGAGTCAGAGACACGTGGTTTCCATGGGAAGCTGAGAGCAGGCAAGAAGGGTTTTGTAGAAATAAAACGGAATTTGAATGTCTCCAAGGGCCTGTCAGGATATGGTAGCACAGATTTCTGGGAAACTTTTGAAAAGCATCTGAAATTTGTTTTACTTTTTTCATGTAGTGCTGCTATAGATGGTTGACTTGGTTGTTGATGAATGAAATATCTTTTTGCTTTGGATGCTGCCACATGAGGGTGTGATGCTTGGAGCTGCGGCAGCAATATTGTGATCAGGTTTGTGAGCAAGGCTGAAGCTGAAAGCTAGCAAACAGAGGAAGGTAAAAATGCAAACGATGAAACGAGTTGGGTCCTTGAAAGCAACACTGAGCTGCCAACCCAACCCTGAGGATCACCTGAGGGTCACCTATTTCTGGACTCAAGTAAGTAATTCAAGTCATTAGCCACAAGCCACCGTTAGTTTTGTTACCTGCAGTTGAAAGTCCCTAATTTTGACACCAACATAAAAAAAAAACATGTCTGAGTGCTCCCCCTGTCCACCCCCATCTTACCACTGAGGTTTTCACAGACAGCAATCCCTGAGGTTTGAGAGGCACTGCCTGTTACAGCATCGCCAGGGTTGCTGTGAGGTTCGTCCAAACCATAATTACTGTAAAATTAAAGAGAGATAGTAAAAATACTTTTGTGTCAGGCAGACACTGACTTTCGTGCCGGGAGGGACAAGACGCCACCAAGCAGCGGTTTCTCTCTCCTGGGCGAATGGGTGCTGTCGAGTCCGGATGGCTGGGGAGGGAGGTTTTAAAAACCTCAAGGCAGGAACTTCAGAAACGACACACTAAGCTGAAACTGTGGGCGCAGCTCCCTGGGCTTTCACATTACGCCGACCTGAAACTTCAAAATCATAAGTAACGGATTAGGGTTTACTGAACGAAAGTATAAAAAAAAAAAAAGAAAAAAAAGTATTAAACTGAAAAGTTAGGACCTTGTAAAATGCCCACATATGTCATCTTCTTATTCCTGAGTGTTGGCTAAAAATAGTTACCTGCCTATCTGTGATGTGGGCAAGACCGAGCTTCTTGCTGTTTAAAGGACGCTGAGGCTCAGGCCCTTGAGGTTGGCAGTGGCTCCACGGCCCCTCCCCAGGGTCCCAGAGCGACCTTGGCGTGGCAACTGCAGAATTAAGGTAGAGACGGGCCTGCGTGGCGAAGCTCTGCCATGGGCCGCCGGGTCGACTCCAGAGAGTACGCCGTTTCTAGGCATTTTGTGTTCGAAGAGATCAAAGCCCCAAGGCGAAGAAAACACTGAGTTTGCTCGCCACAGATGCGAGAGTGGGCTCCGGGGGAGGCAACGTGGACGGATGACCTACATCTACGACAGACCGAGTTTGCAAATCACTTAGGGCCTTTTAGAAACTTAACAGCTCACCCTCAAATCTATTTGACTCTAATTTTGGTAAAAGATCTCCGGTTGGAGAAAATGAAATGTATCTAAAATTAATTTCTGGGCTACCTGTCACTTACCCACTTTCCCAGTGTCCCTCTGCTCCCCTCCGAGCAGATGTTTATCACTCCAAAGATCAGCCAGCGAGGAGGACTGGAGAAGCGCTCCCTGCTCCAGGGTGGGACACGTCCTTGGGGAAGAAGCTGTGACCCTAGGGACCCTTCTGCTGGCTGCCAGCTCAGCCGCTTGCTTTGGATACTTCCCTCCAGGCCTTTTCAGAGCGGAGCTCCCTCTCTCAGAGGCTGGAGGGGCACCTGCTGGCTGTCTCTGGCTCAGAGGTGGCCTCAGAGAACTGGGCCTACCTGGAGAAAAAGTAGTAAGAGGTGCGGAGAGGTGACAGTGTTTTGGTTTCGCTCTTCCTGAACTTGGATCACATAAGCCAAAAATCCACTGCCTTTTGCTAGAGCTGGCATGATTTAGGTTCCTATCATTTGCAATCTGTATCCTCAGCTGTTTTTAAAAACTTGTGTATATACCCGTCTTCCCCTCAAACAAGTATTTTACACACACATGCTAAAAGAATTTTGAAAAATAAAAAATTTATTTTGTAAATCAAATACTTTCAAATTTATCTTTTATATAAATTCAAATTTTTAGGTACTAGATTCTTATNTAATTGTTTTGAAAAATAAAAAATTTATTTTGTAAATCAAATAATTACTTTCAAATTTATCTTTTATATAAATTCAAATTTTTAGGTACTAGATTCTTATAATACACCAGTGTTATATACAACTGGAGGGAATAACAGTTGAAATACAGTGTAGGCAGAAGTTGTTCAGTTTTCATTTTCAATTTGAACAAATAGAAAAGTGTATTAGTCACATAGAGAGAATTAAATATTTTAAATAAAAATTTTATACCCACTCAAATGTATCGTATTAGACATATTAGAACTGATTATTTGCATAACTGAATATTTGCATAAGTAATGAAAGGATTAAGAAATTATTTGGGTTATAATCAGAGGAACATAAGGGTAAATCTGTAGAAAGATATTTTCCAAATAAAATTCCAATAACAGGCTAAACATTCTCAAATATTTTATATACATAAAGAATAAATTATTTCTGGTTAACATGTTTTTGCTTTAGTAAAAATCACAACAAATTTGGTAAATGTAAATCAAAGTTTTCTAGACATGAGTTCTCCAGTACCATCTGTATGGTATCTGTTCAGAAATGAGGCCAAAATTCTCAGAACATAGCACAATTAGGGTGGCGGAGAGAAATGCGTGCTAATGCCCACACGGTTAACTGACAGCAGAGAGGCCGGAGGGGAGGAAACCAGAGCACAGGAGGGATCATGTCACTAAGTGGAGCCATGAGGGGAAAAGTACAAGCTGAGCCCCAGACAATCCAGTCAGGGTCCTCTTCAAGGAGGCTCAGGAGTTTGGTTTTTTAAAGTGTTCAGAAACAAATTCCAGCAAGAGGTCTGGTTTGAGTCATCAGGCCTTTCTTCTCGAATCTGTGACTTCTCAGCTGAAGTACCTGGCATTCTTAAGGGAAAAAATGAATATTCAGATTTAGTTCTGTCAGATATTAAGCTAGAAAACCAAAAATTCGTGTTTTCTGTAAGAACTGTACACACAAACAGGTTTTGCTTATTAATGGGGCAGGAAAGAAGAGGAACTGGAGTTCAGCTCTTTCAAAAAGATAAAGGGCAAGGGAGGGGAGAGAAGAAAGTAGGAATGCAGAGGAAGCCTTAAAAATGGAGTGATGAGTGCATGAAAGGGAAATACAAAGTTTCTGTCCATGTGACGCTCCACTTCAGGCTCCTCGGGCCCCTGTGCCTAGAGAGGTATGCTTTCAGGATCTAGCTGTAATTTCCCCATGGGCTAGACACAGGTTTTCTGAAAGCTCTGCCAGACATCTTCCCCCTTCCGAGGGCTGATGCTTAATTTCCTAGTGATCTGAGTGCTCCCAAGCCAAGCGGGCTCAGGAAGTTGTCACAGTGTCCGGTCACGGCACGCTTACACTGTTCAGATGTCTGCGCCAGCAGTGGGAAGGGGCCACTTGCATTCCTGGCTCATGTGCTTTCCAAGTAGGATACATTTGACTAAATAAAGGCAACATGGTCCAGAAGCCTCCGAATCTCCACGTGAGCATGGAAGGAGAGCTCACCGTTCCCAAGGCGGAGGGGAAAGGCTGTTCTGTACTGCGAAGGACTCTGCAGCAAAATCAATGGCCCAAATCAAGTGACGGACTGATGCAGCCCACTATCACCAGTAGAAATGTCATTTGGAGTACTTTTGGCAGATGAAAGGATGTCATCCCGCTGAATGTTACTTTACGAACATTCTATCAGGATATAGGGTCACTTCACTGTCTTTAACCTGGACCAGTTAGTGTTTGTTTGCTCACATACAGTACTTTCTCCCCTGGGTGTTCTTTATTTTGGAGGAGTGTCTGCACTCCAGGCCCTTTCTCTAAGCTCTACTAACCAAAGCGATAGCTACATTAAGTAGTTGCAAGTGTGGTCTTAATGGGTGTCATTTACTTATGTGGTTAATACTTAAGGCAACTGCTAAATGTGCAGTTTCTGGGGACCCTTCTCTGAGAGGGGGAGAACATACGGGTAAAATATTTTAGAAGCAGTTAAGGTCACTCTGGACCCAGTTGAAAAAGATGAAGTTATGATTCACTTCGAAGCTATTACCACTAATGCAAAAGTACTTGATTTTCATACTGATCTGGAATTCAGAATCTCTGTGCTACACAAATGTTTTCAAAACAAGCAACAACTTACACTTTCCGAAGTTTAGAAATGACATCCCTGGGATAAAAGGTAACTTTTCTTGGCCAGTGTGGCTGGAACAGTGACAATGGGTATTTATTCTACCAGTCTGATCAGGCGGTCTACGTGGTTTCTCCACTGCACCAGGTTATGTACACGTGTGCATACGGAGAAAGACAGAAAAGGTCCTGTAAATGTCATTATTTCTAAAATGCTTACTTTCTCCTACGTGCCAGTCATTCAAATAAGATCAGGTGCTTTTCCAAAATAACCCCCACTGTATCTAGGAATTTGTTTTAAATATAGAGGTAAGGTAGGTATGAGAATGCCTTTAGTAACCAAAGAAATCAACCTAAATTCAGATGATACCTGGCGTGACAGTTCTCTAATTTTGAAAGCCTACGATCTAAGCTTGTAACAGGCAAAGGCATGTTCATTAAAGACGTCTCGAAAAAGTGCACACCCTATCTAAATATCCAGATGTAGCTACAGAAGGAAAACAGACTGCCTCCCTTGTATAAAAGGCAGAAGACCAGAAGGAAGCAGACCCCATCCCACAAGCTGAAGGAGGCATCCATGCCAAGAATCAGCAAGTCTTCTAGGCAGGCAATGGCACACATGGAATATTATTATGGCTCTCAAATCATGAGGGAGGGGAAAGGCCAAGTGAGAGTGAGGGAGGGAGGGAAGGAGTGAGGGAGGGAAACCTAGAGGTAACAGAGTCCTCATTACAATTACAACACTTCATTAGGCAACAAGTTTTCTAGCTGCAAGGCACATGAAAAATAACTGTTAACAGTAACTTACTAAGACAGTGGAAATTAAAAGAAAAAAGCCTCCTTTGGACGCAAAGTACAGTGGCATCATTAACATACTGACCAAGGAGAGCTGAAGCAGTGGCCACCTGGAGCTGAACCACAGCACAGTGAAGGGAGCTGAAGCAGTGGCCACCTGGAGGTGAACCCCAGCACAGCGAGGGGGGCTGAAGCAGTGCTCTAACTTGGGGATACTGAGGCTGAGGGCGGGGCAGGAGGTGAAGGGGACGTGGTGCTCGTGGTTTACTTCAGTGACTCTGCAGCACTCAGTAAAGCCAATGTGCCTTTTAAAGGAAGACCCCAAATCCTCTGTGTGACAAAAGATTTACAATTGTACAGTTATACAAATATTTACTGTTGGTATGTCCCACAGGCTAGGTCAAGTTCACTGATGCAGCTGAGCAGAGTCTTCCATGTTCTGTCCACTACCACTCAGCGTTATAAAGTCAACCAGACGGAAACGACAAAAGGAGCAATTATGAAATTCCTGACTTCTCTGCCTTGGTTACAGGTCCATAATTTGCATAAAATAAATAATATGCATTAAATAAAAATTGGCCTTAAAAGTTGGAATGGGGGGGGGGAAGCAGAACAACTGGTGTTCTTAAGGCAAAACAATAGAGATCTCTTTAAATACACACTTTATTATATCCACAGGCGATAAAATCCCAGAGCTACTGTTAGGCACGTAAAGACAGACCCTGGAAGAAAAAAATAATTGAGCACAGTATTAGTTATATTAACAGTTACTTGAGGGAACATCTTTTTATTAAGAAAACATAGGCACTTATCCACCTATCCACCAAGGCGGGGAAAAAAAACCACTAAGAAACTTGTTCACTGATGTGCCACATTCCATGAAACACCTGCCCATAAAAAAACCCCACACCTTGACATCATCAACTTCAAAGTACAGATGTATCCAATATTCATGGACACTTTTCAATAAGAGTTTGGAATCACAAAAAGTCTGTGGTCACAAAGCATATGTGTATGTACTGTACAGGACACAGCCTTTAACTTACGAGCAAAATTTCACTTAATACAATTGTACCTTTAAAATATTAACACAAAATACTAAACTTGAGTTAAAATAATGGCAAATTGTTTTGGTACATGAATCTTTATTCCCTCTTTTGGCTCAAAAATTGCAAATAACCTTTTATGAGGAGGGTCAACAATTCAAGCAGAAAGATCACAACTTAAAGCTTCTCATTCTACCCGTCAAATATTCCATCTTGAATTTCTCTTAAAATTTTTTAAAATGACTATAGTTCAATGATAGTACCTTATCAAATTTAAGATTCCGTCAGCTATAAAGTACATCATTTTATTTACTTCTCAAAAAAAACTGCCAATTATAGTACAGTAATACTCTATTGGAAATTATAAGATGCTTGCTAATTCAAAGATATTAAAATATGAAAATATGTTAGAATCAATGAAAAGCAAATATGTCTGACTTATTTTATAAATTTTATTAATTTTATTTTCAGCGTGTTTTAACTACCTAGATACAAAACAGCTTACCTGCTAAATATTTAATATTATCAAGCTTGTGCGACTCGAGCATGGTTTTGAGGCCAGCGACCTCAGTGTCTATCTTTCTGTCTGTCTGGGTGACGGCCCGGTCTTGCTGGGCGTGCTTGTAAAACAAAGAGATTCGCAGCATTATATCACTTGGGATATACTGTTCCCACTGCTATCAGTCCTGAGAGTTCCTTCCCAAAAGTGTACAGTCAAGGGGAATTGGGGTAAGGTTAGGGAGACTTGGGCTTGAGTCTTAGTTCTACTATCCTCATGCTATGTTGCGTTGGTTAGGGCCTTAAATATATTTAGGCCTGTTTCCTTCTGTTTGAAAAAGGAAAAAAAATGCCATTAGCCCTGCCTCCACACAGGCTGTTTAGAGAATCCAATGTGGTAATCTTTGTAAAAAAGCTTTTGTACGTTATAGATTGCCCCACGACTAAGGCTAACACTATGAAGCCAGTCTGTTCTCAATGGCAATAAGTATGTCCCATTCTTCTAAATTCCCCTTAATGAAAAGTATACAAAAATGCTTTAAAAAAATGAACAAGATCTTAGATAACCTAAAAGCAACAATGCTTGCCTTGACATTGTTTCTATTCACATTTAAAAAAAAAAATGTCTTTATTGATTTTAGAGAGAGGAAAGGAGAGGGAGAGATAGAAATTTCATTGATGAGTCATTGATCAGCTGCCTCCTGCACGCCCCCCTACTGGGGATCGAGCCTGCAACCCGGGCATGTGCCCTGACCGGGAATCGAACTGTGATCTCCTGGATCATAGGTTGATGCTCAACCGCTGATTCATGCCAGCCAGGCTCTGTTCACATTTTAAAAAGTTTTCTTCTTTTATGGTTCAAACACCAAGTTTTATTATTATGAGGCTTGGCTATACCAAAGGCCTATTCTGTGTTCTTTCCCAAATATAACACAGTTAAACTAGGTATATAATTACCCCCAAAGGGTGGTGAGTTTTGCTGACATTATAACGGGGTTGTCATATCCATTAATGCATCAAAGAACTGGGAATGCTTCACTAAAAATTCTAGGGCAAGTAAGTAGTTCCCTATGGCTAACCAATCAGGTAACGGATAAGAAAATAAACACCTGATGAACAGAAAAGTATTTCAGAGAAATACTGCAATATTCTCTCATGGAAGTCTCATAGGTTTCAGAGGTCCCAGGTGATACAGGATGGGAAAGAAGTAAATGCATGCCATAAGTTAAAAAACATAATTTAAAAATCTATGTCCATTCCTTACTATTCTTCAATCACTGAGATTTAAACTTTTATTAAGATAATCAAGTATTGTGGTTAAGTGTAAAAAAATCCTACAATACTCCACTTCCAAGTGTACACTAAAAATAATTGAAAACAGGGACTCCAACAGGTATTTGTATCCCCACGTTCACGCCATTATTCACAACAGCCACTAGGTGGAAGCAACCCAACCATTCAGAGATAGTGTCATCAAAATGTGGTATGCTCGTCCAATGGAATGTCGTTCAGCTTTAAAAAGGAGGGGAACTCTGCCCGGCTGGCATGGCTCAGTGGTTGAGTGTCGACCTAGGATCCAGGAGATCTTGGTTCGATTCCCGGTCAGGGCACATACCTGGACTTCGGTCTCGATCCCCAGCAGGGGGTGTGCAGGAGGCAGCTGATCAATGACTCTCATCATTGATGTTTCCATCTCTCTTTCCCTCTCCCTTCCTCTCTCTGAAATTAAAAAAAAAAAGGAATTCTGACACATGCTACAACATGGATGAACCTTGAGGACATTATGCTAACTGAAAATAAGCCAGTCACAAAAGGAAAAATACCGTATGATTCCACTTAGATGAGGTACCTAGAGTAGTCACAGATGGAAAGCAGAATGGTGGTTGCCAGGGGCTGGAGGAGTTATTGTATAATAGGGAGAATTTCAGTTTTACAAGATGAAGACAGTTCTGTAGCTGGGCGGTAGTGATGGTCACATAATGTGAATGTACCTAATGACACCAAACTATACACTTAATGGTTAAAGTGGTCATGTTTATGTGTATTTTACCACAATTTAAAAACCCCTGACACTAACCCTGCACCTATTTTCCTAGGACACATCGCTGTAAACAGCAGCAGCCGTGCACGGGACGAAGCAGAGGTGAGTAAAACGACCAAGAAGAGTCCGTCCCATTTCTTACCAACGCCACCATCTCCGTCCTCATTTCCAGCAGCTTCCTCTCGTTTAACGAATACTGAAACGAACACAGCACACAGGTCAGATTCGCATTCCTTCCTCCCCTCCGTCTCTAGTGTCTTAAATATCCTGGTCTCACTACTTCCAAGAATAGGTAGCCCCAGCAACTGCCTGGGGGTCAGAGGAGCCCGCTTGGCCCTCGCCGTTAGGTCTGTTTGAGGCCTCTTGTTTGCACTCGCCCATCGCTCCAGTATCTGGCTTCCCTTTTGTCAGCCTTCACCCCTCTCTCCGCTATGTTTCCCCGCTTCATCTCCTCACTGAGATGGCTCTCCCACTATTATACTGACACTCTCCAGGACCAAGTTAGATGGACGTTGAGTCACACGCTTTTTGGCTTTGACAGGAGAGAGTGAAAAAGTGGGAAATAATTCCACTTAGTAGCTATCCCATCACAACTACAAACAAAACTTGAAACTTAGACACAACATAGGAAAGATATAAAGATGGGAAAGAATGGTCTCAAGGAATATTATTCTGTGACATAGATGTTGCCTTATGATTATAAAACAATGTACATACAAGAAATATACTATATCATCACATTTAATTTAAAACAAACACGCAAACCGATCCACTTGGCAGAGTCACAATCCAGTGTTACTAAAATTACTAACCAGTTCTACCCAGATTTTAAACGGTATCTTGCCTTTGGCTATAATGTCTGTGCAAAGATTTAATGCAACTTTGCTGACATTAAAACCCAAATCAGACATCTCTCCTTAGTAGTGGGCATTAGGATTTAATTGAACAAATGGGAATCTATAATTTAAGTGAAGAATTAAAATTTTTTCACTAAACTAATATTGTTATAGGGGGAAAGAATTAATGCTTTTGAGGTATCTCGAAACTTTCTAGCTATAAAATTTCCCCCTGGGTCTACATAAAAATAGCACTGCTTGTAAATTAAAAAACAGCAGCAGAAGGCCCCAACCCCCATCTAAGGATCAGTCATAGGACCAAAGAACACTCATCTCTGTTCTAAATGTCAGGGCTTCGACCAGGAGAAAGCTATGCACCGGATCACCACCAGAGGGCAAGGGAAAACTGGATTTTCTTCACACCTTTAAACTGGCCTTCAGTAAGTCAGTATTGATTCAGCCACAACAGAAAAGAAAAGCCTGCATCTTGATCTTGCCATGAATTTTAAAATAAGTTCCATCTCCCTGCGTCCCAAAACAGTTTATAGGTCATACTACTTTTGAAACTGGCTGTAAATATCACCATAGGTAATGTAATTGGCACAATATTACAACTTTATTAAATAATGGAATGTGAGGGTCAAATAACTCACCTTCATCAATGCATGTTAAATACATACTAGCTGCATAATCATATGCTACTGTCCTGAACTTCAGAATAATCTAAGTTTAGGATTACCAAGAACACCTTCTCAGCTAGGTCGGTAAGTCACATAAACTCACTGGCTTTAATCCAAGCTCACATCCCGTATTTCCCAATCTTCTAGGTATACGTCTCCCCAGCTTGGTTAACAACAGGCATCTTCTTAAGTCAAGTGAATTCAGCTTTGGTCAGGTAGCTCAGTTGGTTAGAGCATGTCCCCATATGCCAAGGTGGCAGGTTTGATCCCCAGTCAGGGCACATACAAGAATTAACCAATGATGCATGACTAAGTGGAACAGCAAATCGATGTTTCTTTCTGTCTCTCCTCCTTCTTTTCTCTCTTAAAATCAATCAATAAATAATTTTTTAAAAAGTGAATTCAGAATTTTGCTAAGTACACAAACCATAAAGGCAAAGTTAACCAAAAGAGTTTCTCCTCCTCTAGATACTAGTCATATGCTAGTGATCACTAAATATTTTAGTGATATGAGGTGACTTAATCTTCATGGTTGAAAAGCATTTTAAGACTAGAAAGATAGGTAACATGAACATAATAATTATTTGGTACAAAAAAATTCAGCTTAACTCTTAAGTCCAGAGGCAGTTCCCAAATATAGCGAAGTACTTGTTTGCGTTTCAATCATCATCATAGCACATTTTGGTTAAAAGCAAATAGTGCAAAATGAGAAGACAATGAACAACTGTGAGTACTCGGTGTCTGCACGTGTATCCAGTTCTGTGTTAGTGAAAAATGCTTTATATACTTATTTCTCATTATGCTAAGAATAAAAAAGGTATCTACTGAATGTCATCAAATTTAAATAAAGCTTGAATAAGAAGATAGATGGGATCAGAAGACAAATCAGAGGCAACCCAACACATAAAGATTAAAACATACAACTTACTGCACCCCATGTTCATCGCAACATTTCTAATAGCCAAGGCATGAAAGCAGCCTGAGTCCACTGATGGATGAATGGATAGAGAAAATTTGAGATACACAGTATATATCTCAAATGAAATAGTATCCTACCATAAAAAAGAAGGAAATACTGCCATTGTGACAACCTGGATGAACCTTGGGAGCATTATGCTAAGTGATATAAGTCAGACAGACAGACAAATACTGTATGATCTCACTTATATGTGGAATCTGAAAAAACCCCAAAATCCTGGGGAGCTCACAGATACTGAGAACACACTGATGGTGGCCCGAGGTGAGGGATGAGGGTGAGCAAAGTGCATGAAGTGGGTCAAAAGGTATAATTTGCAGTTAAAAATGAATAAGTCCTGGGGATGTAATGTGCCACATGGCAACTGTAGTTAATATACTGTACTGTATATTAGGAAGTTCAGAAGAGAGTAAATCTTGAAAGTTCTTATAACAGAAAAAATTTCTTAACTATGTAATACAGTGATGGATATTAACTGGACTCATTGTGTTGATCATTTTGCAATATATACAAATACCAAATCATTATGTTGTATACCTGAAACTAATATATGTCAATTATATCTCAATTAAAAAACAGCAGGGTTACTGTGAAAACTCTGAGGGAAAAAATATTGCATTTACATCATTATCTTTGAAGGAGCAAGGGCAACACGGCTGCATTTCCATTTCTCTTAGGTCCCGTGCACGGCCCCATTTTGTGGTATCTTTTTGGTAACAAATGTGCAGCACTACGTTTCCTAATGAAAAGTTTCAATATAACATAAATTACTCATTTAGAATCTGCATTTCAAAACAGTGCAGTAAAGTCATTAAGATTTCTCTAAGAAAAAGACAATAGGGAAATATTTTTTTAAATCTTGAATTTCAGTATAGAATATTAATATTAATAATTTAGTATTATTCAAGTCAGAAAATCAACTTAACTTTTGTAAAATCAGGACCTGTGCAAGTTTAAGTCAGTATGAAATAGATCAAGACTAAGTTCAACTTCTTTATTAATGTCTAAATGATACATAATTTAGTATCTCTGAAACAAAAAAAGATTCAAACTTATTTGATCAAGATTTTAATTTAAAAAATAATTTTTTTTGGTTTCTTAGAAAAAGGG